TGGTCCTATCACTGAGTACCACTGAGAACTGTCTGGCTCCATCTGTCTATTATAAATCAGAACTGGGGATAGAACTAAAAATTTTGTACCTAAGGCTACAACCCTTTTTTTTTTCTAAGGGTGTAATTTTCACACTTGCTAGGAAGAAGGAAATAGTTTTTGTATTGTTAATACAAAAATATTAAAAAAATATCAAAGCTAATAACAAGAATTCCAGCAACCATTTGCATGATTGGAAACAACCCCAAGAGAACAAAACTGATCGACAGAGAAAAATGGGAAGATAGAAGCAAATGGTGCTGGCTATATGTTATATGGCCTCTGAAATCATTGCCTGCATGTTACCACCACCTGCAATGTGACCATGTGCTGCCTTTCTTGATCCCAGAGCATCTTTGCAGACACAAGGAACAGCACAGCGTCATTGCTCATACAGTCCAGGCACTGATACTCCTCTAAGTCAGCCGGGGTATGTGGTATAGGACTCAGTCCCTCAGTCATGCTTACATGGTTTCCTCTGACATCCTTGGTTTTGCCACTCTCCCCACCGTTAACTTTGCACCACAAACTTTTGATTATAATCTGACTTGTACCATAATTTCACTTTGCCAATATCTTCATTAGTCTTTAAATGTTGCTTTATTTATTTATTTGCCTTCATCCCTCTGATGCCCTCCAATTTAACAGACAGGGTGGAGTTTTCTAAATCCACTGGTGAAGGCTGTCACATGATGCACTCAATGCAGGCTGCCATGGCTTTTGTTACTGGGACTGGGATATTTTATTTTTCCCTATAAGTTTTTTCTAGCCACTTAAAAGTGGGGTCAGATTTTGGCTAGTGCTGAAGATGCCTGAAATTCACACACATGCTACATATATGTATGAAACAAACATGAGAACTAGTGGGGTTTTTTGCTTTCCTTTTTTTTTTTTTTTTTTTTCCTTAGAGGTCAGTGTTTCTGGTAGTTTCAAATAAAAAATTTTGTCTAAATGAGTTTCAGCACTTTCAAAGCGCTGTTTCCTTTCTGTTTTTGCTCTTCATCCTTTATGGACCTCTGTCCTGCCCAGTATCTGCCATTGTGTAGTCTGTGATTTGATCTATTTATTGACTTAGAACCATATACTATGACAATATTAAAATAGAAAAGTTATCTAATCCTATGGAAAACATAGTCAAAATGCTGACATTCTCAAAACATTCTTGTGTTGTTTTCCTGGATTTGAACTACAAAAGATAAGGCCAAACCAAAGATGGAACACTTTTCTTATTCAGCATCAACAGTGTTCAGAATGTTTTGCATAGTAATTTTCTGTCTAAAATTTAAGCAGGTTTTCACATATTATGCTAGACAAGACCTTACATTCCTGTCATGTTGAGCAGACAGTGAAAGCAAAGATTAAATGGAAAACATGTCTTCATATTAATTATAGATGGCTAGTATTTCTCAGGACCCCAGGGAAATAAGCAAAAGTTCTTGGTTACTGGAAGCTTGAAGGTATTGCTTCAAATTAGTAAATGTGGACAATTTACATGCATAACATACCAGATATCGGCATGAAAATATTTTTCAGAAATTGATGAATGAAACAAGAAGAATAATGAAGAAAAATGACAGTACACATACCCTCCAGAGAGCAAAATAAACAATGTAAGTGTTTGGTAAATAAATCTCTGCAGAACTCTTAGAAATTACTTACTGATTAATTGAATCAATCCATCAACCTGTTGTAATGGTATCAATTTGCAGTCCCTTCGATGTTGTTCTCCTTCCACACCTACTGCTTTAGATGCCTTTAAAATGTGGGTTATAATATAACACATCTATATGGAGCTATCATAAATTATTTAGATACTCTAGTGAGATATGTGACTGATGTTTTACTCAACTGTCATATGCACATGTTTAAACTAACCCTGTCACCTTATAATAGTTCCCTTTTCCCTGCCCTCCTCCTTTTCCTGACTTTTTTTGTTCACCCACTTTTTTGATTGATTAAAACAAAATTTATTAGCAGAGTGGGACTGTGAAATAATATTTTGTCTTTTAATTTTTTTTTAATTTAAATGTTTTCATTTACTCACTTTAATTAACATATAAACTCTTTGCAGAAAGACCCCTCTTATTTAATGTGTTTGCAGACTGTACCATGCTTATACATCCAGTAATTATCAGAAATGGTAATTTTTTTATACAGAATGCCCATTGAAAAATAACCACTTGGGACTTTTGAAAGGAGTGATAGGAAAAGCTAAGTAGAAAATGGGAGAGACTGTGCATGTGTTTTTATATCCCTGCCATTAAATATACTCACATAACAGCATGTACGTGTGTATGGATGTATGACAGAAATGAACCAACATTTAGCAGAAATGCACACAGATGCATGAATACTGAGAATACCATGTAAATTCTTAAATTGCACATACTTACATGTTCTCCTAGGAACAAAAGGTTCACCTGCATGCATAGAAACCAACCATCCAAATGTTTGCAAGTGAAAAAGCTGAGACAAATTTGAAGAGACTGAAATGTGAATCTGACTCAGTCAATGTGTTCACAAACACATTTTCTATAAATTTCCTTCTAGCCCCCCTGTGCCTTTTGTAGCTCCAGGTATTTATGGCTCTCTGTACACTCACTCAGCTATAGCTTTAGCAAATGTGATTGCACATTTGAAAATGAGTCCCACTAGGGCTTGCTGTACTTGATGCCTTCTGTAACACTGCAACCCTTACTGCGCTATTAATTGTCTCCCTGTGTTTGGAGCCTTTGGGGGATGTAAATAACCTTTGTGCCTCCTTCCAGGTTTGCACATAACCACAGTGACACCATCCTCCATGACTGTCATCACCGTCATTATGTGAACAGTTTGAAACAATGGATGCACAAAAAAGTGGTATGTCATTTTGGAAAGGTATTTGGGGTTGTGTACAGACAGAGGGTAGAGTGAGAATGGGACAAGATGATGGTAATTAGGAGAAAGAAATGAAATTCATATGAAATAGCATTCTGTGTAGCAGAACAGGATACTGTTGAAGAGAAAAGGCTCAATATGAACATACTTCTTCGTGTTTAGCTCCATATAACCTACTTCCCAGCAGGACAAAGGCAAAGCTAGGAAAGTGGTTAGGTAACAGATGGCAGCAAAGATCCTCTTCCTCTGGTGAATGCAGAAGTCTGGATCTAATTTTGAATCAGAGATGACCACAAGTGTTTTTTTTTGTAATTCTCAGATTTCATGGTGTTCCCATCTATCAAAAATAATAATCCCAAGGCATTTGGAGTCCCAAGAGCTACGTCTTCTACTCAACAGAGGGCAGAAAAGATAGTTTTTTGATTGGACCTGATGAAAAAAACTCTTTAGTGATTTTGGCAGGATTTAGAAAAATGGATTTAAAAGGTCCTTCTTTTTTACATATGGAGAGAGGTGAATAACAAATGCATTTATGATGCTATGTAAAACTCCACATTTGGTGTAATATCTTTCTTGCTATCCTACTCAGCTATGCAAAGGCCACAACTCCAACTAGCTGAAGTTGCCCCTCTTGATGAAGATCTGAACACAGGGACTTCTCAGGACATGAGACCAAACACAATTTATTTCTCCAGTCCATGGCTGGAGAGGAAGTGTATTCCTGACGACAGGAAGGAAACATCTTTTACTGACCCATTCTGCATTGTGCCACTTCTGTATGTGAATGAATAGCTAAAGGGCAGTTTCTTTTATGAATGGTAACTACATTTAATATTGCACATAGCTTGGAGCAGACTGATTAGCATAACAACTGTTTACGTCTCTCTCCAAGGAGCAGTGGACACAGTGCTGTCTGCAGTATTTCTATGTATTGATTCTTCAAGAAAACCTGGCTCACCTTTACTATCTGTTGCCAATCCAGATGCACTGGGAAGTAGCCAGGTTCAGATTAGCTAGAAAACAAAAAGTCTATGCTGTATCATCTCAGCTATGCTGAAGAGATTGGTAGAAAGAAAGCAACACATACACAGACTATTCATGGGTCTTTCCATCTTTGTGAGAAAAGTCCTCATCCTCTGAGTAATTGCATTTGAAAATAAAACAGAGGACTGGAAATGAATATATTACAGGTTGGAAGGTGTATGGAGTTTTTGCTTTGCCCACTATCAATGTGCTCAGATGAAGAGTGAGAATGCATGTGATTAAAACCTTTAGACACTGAGTTAATAGCCAGTCCAATCTGGAGACATCCAGGTGTCAATAAATACCACACTAGCCTTTGTCAAAATGCTGTATGGCAGCTGAGGACTTAATTTAAGCAAGTGAAGCACAAACCATTTTCCCTTACCTGACTGAAGAGTATCACTTGCACTATAACTATAGCATAAAAAATCCTAATGACAATAACTAATGAAGTCTCTTTCTAAGGAATTGTCTTAGGAGAGCATGACTGAGTATCTCAAATATGTATACTCTTCTGCTGTGCCTTTATTAAATGACCTCAGGCAAGCTGTCAATGTATGTGAGCTCTATAAACACATTGCCTAAGACAGGATTTCACCATTTCAATGACAGGATTTCATCATTTCAATGTAGGGACAATGAACAGCATATAAAATAATATTAATGCTATGGAAATACCCATGTTACATAGCTCCTTCTTAACAAGGATTACTTTTGCAACACTTTACACTCTTGGCAACTGTAAACCTATCATAGGCTTAAAATTCCTGATGAGTGGGCAAAAAAGCCCTGTTTTCTGTAGTGAAGAGTCTATTGCAGTCAACCTTGTAAAAGAAACATTTTAGTGTCAGTGATAATGAAAATGCCTGCTACCTATGACAGAGTTAAAATGGTGTCATGACCTGGCAATTTCTATTCAATGCTGTCACATCCATGCAGTGCACAGATCGGGACTGTCATCATGTAAATGCAGTAAGATTCTTTATCCTGCATTGTTGCTCAGTTGGGAACAGTAATTCTAAGTTTCCTGTAAGTTGTGAATAGCAGCAGGGGGGCATGAATAGCTTGGAAACCTATATTTTTTCCATTTATTTTTTTTAAAATGCAAATTACACTAGTAAGTCAAAAAAATCACTTTTGTTAAAAATACATTCAGAATTAACAAATGCCAAAAGAAAAGAAAAAAAAAGACACATTTGGATTGCATCTCTTGCCTTCTGAATATTTAAGTTTCTAACAAAAGCCCAGCCTAGAAAAATAACATTCTTTACTGGATTTTGAGGAGGATACAGCTGTACAAATCAAAAATGTCATCCAGATATTCTCACATTACTGTGCTCTAAACTGCTGTCAGAAGAGATCTGTCCACTAATCATTTAGTTTAGTAGTCAACAGTCCTAATTATTTTTAATGGCGGTGCTCTAACTGCAACTTAAGCAGGGTTATGAATATCAATTTCATACAGGTATGTATGTGTATATATATGTATACTGTGTGTATGTTAGTGTGTGTATATCTACTCTATATGTAACATGAATACGCATTTATATCGTAATCCTTAATAGTTAGATGTGCTTCCTATTTCCTAAGCACTTTACAAACATTGACAATTCAGACCTCACAATAAGCCTGTGAGGCACAGATTATTCCCGTTTTATAGGTGGGAAGACTAAGACACAGAGAAATTAAGGCCAAAATTTTCTAAATTAAAATCAGGCCTGAAAGCTACATGTAGACACTTCAGTAAATTGTCTGAATTCTAAAATTGCTAACTACCGGTACCTGCCGTTCCAAGGGAAATAACTGAAAGGTATGAAAAATTACCTTCTGAAAATTGGATTGCTGCTTAGGTGCCTAAACTGGTTTCTTTTTACCTTAAAAAATGATTTTTATAGAAATATTATTTTGATTAACTGGCACGCAGGGAAAGCTAAAATACCCTGTTATGACATTTTTGTTCCATTTAAACCTCTACACTGTGTTTAATACTACACATCTGCTATATTCCATACTACATAAAAGTAAAAACTTTTGAAAGTTTTCCAAGTTATGGGAAATTTCAGCCTGCCACTTGGAGGCTGCACGCTTTTTCAGGGTGTGAAAAACAGCTCTATCCAGAATGAACTCAGATTTTCAGGTACCGAAGTCTGAAAAGTTAAATTTGAGATGCAAATCAGCAATGAATGCTGTAAGGGATCACACCTAGGGACCAGCCTAACTAATTCACACAGAAAATCCCTAGCAGGATCTGGGGCTTGAGCCCTTGGCCCCCTTCACCAGAATCTTCCTGGGTTATGCAGCCCCTGTCATAGCTATTCTCGTGTATTTTATATATATAGACATACACACACACACACACACACTTACAAATATATATATAAAAATCTCACCGAATAAATGTAAATATAGTTCCTGAACCTGTCCCATATCTTGTTTTCAATGGTGAATGCCTGTTCCTCTGTCATTGTCCAGAGTTGCTGCTTGTGACACTGTACATCCATGCAGACACAGGAAAGGGTGCTGCTTTGTACAGGGATGGGTAAGTGGCGTGAGCGCACAGGTCTTGGGATCCTGGGAGCTGTGTGGATGCAAGGGTTTGACCAGCAAGGAAAAGGGAGTTGCTCAGGGCATCTCAAGCCTTTCCAAGCGCTGACCTTCTCTCTTGCCCTCAAAAGGTGCGTGGTCACCTCAGGTGTGGCAGCTGCGTGTGTTTGCCTGTGCAAGGTCTGACCAAAGAAACAATGACAATCCAAGTTTCTGAAAAGCCTGAGCAAAATATTGGGGTTTTCCTAATGAAAGCCACCTAAGTGCTTGAAAATACAGATCAGATGTAGAACAAAACATATGTGCCTAGGAGTTCAGAGTATTTCATATACACATTGACCTACTAGCAAAATTCCCAAAGGCATCTTGTTGCCAACTACGTAACAGCACAGGATTTTTTTCAGCCACAATAATACAGGAAGATAAAATACACATTCTAACACACAACAGATCCCCCAAATATACCACAAAAAGGTCTCCAACATTTCTTCAACTCAACTAGTCCCTCCCTGCCCTCCCCAACTGAAACAAAAAAAAAATAAAATAAAATATATGGATCCCTTATGGTGCAATTAGAAAAAAAAAAGCTCACTTACAGAGAATTTTCAGTTGAAATTAGATACAAAAGAGTAAACGTAGTTAGTACATATTCAGTTGGCCTTTGTTGATATAAATCTGCAGATGTCTCTGTAGTTAGTAAAAGACATTTAGGGATAGCTATAAAAGCACCTACAGTGCGATAAATAAAAACAGTGGGATTAAGAAGCACTCTTTCTGCTGCTTATTTCCAGTAGGTTAAATTATTAGTTTATGGTACCCCTTTCCCCACCCTGGCCTCCAAAAGGTCTCATTTCCTTTATTTATTTATTTTTCTTTTTTTATCTGTTAACCATTATAAAGTGTTTATTTCTTGACCACTGTGGAGTCTCAAAAGTAAAGCACTTCTCAGACAGCTGGCAGTTTTCTACTTGGTCGCTCTGGAGCTGTGGAGCAACAGAGCCTTATTCCCTGACATGAAAACAAAACAAAACCAAACAGAAGAAAACCACTGACTTAGAAATCGTTCAGAATTAACAGCAGCATGTTACTTCAGAAAGCTTGCACGGAGTTTCTTTGCTGTGCAATGCAGTTGGGTTAAGGCAAGTATGAACTGTACAGCCTTCAGGGCAAACAATGCGCTGTCTATTGACTTCTGTTGCAAGGTCATCCTGGTATTTTTAGTGTCGTGTTGACTAAGGGGACTCGACATGGACAGGAGTGCAGAGGGGGCTCCAAAAGCACCAAGTGGGCTGGGTTCATGTCTCAATCCAGATGGGCCACACTGGTGGTAGCCAGGATAGGGAAGACCCAGAAGATTGCACCAATGCCTTTGCTCTCCCCCTGTGGTGCTGGGAGGCAGGAGGTCCAAGGTAGGGGTCTGGGGCATCATCCTTAGTACCTATTAGAAAGAGGGACTGAAGGTTTCTGGTGTCTCACTGTTCGATCAGCTCTTCTATTTTTTTTTTTTTTTAGCACAAAAACTGGGTAATTTTTTGCTCTTTGAAGAACCAGGAGGCCATCCTGAAACAGTTTCTTTGACAGGTCCTCTAGCCCATGTTGAGTAGTTCTCATGTTTACTTTGACCTAGACGAAAGACAGAAAAAGAAAGGTAATTATCCATCTTAGACATGTCTGATCACTGCCCTGTTGCTCTTGTACCCTTTTGTAAGCAAGTATAAGCCACCAACCAGTAGCAGTTCAGCTACACATGGAATGAGGAGGACAGAATGACAAAGTGTTTGCTCAGGTGGTTGCCTGGCTCTCTCTGGAACATTGACAGAGAAGTCAGCAAAGGTTTTCTCAACTGTTCTAAGCAGTAGTAATATTTAATTATAGGCAGTACTATATCTCCATGGGTCAACTGGAAGATGACTTGACCTGTAATAATCAGTCAGAAATGTACCTGTTTTTGTAAAAGCAAGAAGTGACGCAGTATGAGGACAAAAGGACTGAATCACAGGTGCCAGGGAAAACCACCCGAGGCTCAGTTGCAAAGCAGAGTGCATGTGCAAGTGCCACAGCCACATACACCCGAACAGTGGAGTCCTAAACCTGCGTTTTGTAATGCCAGCTTGCAGCCTAAACCAACAAGATGTTGTTGATGGTGAGGCAAGGCTTAGCCGGTAGTTTATTTAAATTAAATTTTGCTGATACTGTCTGAATCCCACAGACCTGAGGAGGTCATAATGCAGCAGATTTGGACTACATGAACTTGCTGAGTATCACAGTGGTTATACTCTAGGTGCCATTTTTTTGTGTCTTGCATACGTTTCATTTATGCTTAAAATGAATGGTAAAGTAGGTAGTACCTTCAGGCTCAGTACTTTAAAGGCTCTACAGAGGGATCTGGACAGGCTGGATCCATGGGTCAATGGCATGAGGTTTAACAAGGCTCAGTGTTGGGTCATGCGCTTGGGCCACAACAACCCCATGCAACGTCCCAGGCTTGGGGAAAAGTGTCTGGAAAGCTGTTCAGCAGAAAAGGACCTGGTGGTGTTGGTCAGCACTCAGCTGAACATGATCCAGCTTGTGCCCAGGCAGCCAAGAAGGCCAACAGCATCCTGGCCTGTATCAGCAACAGTGTGGCCAGCAGGGCCAGGGCAGTGATCATCCCCCTGTACCTGGCTCTGGTGGGACCGCACCTCAAATCCCGTGTTCAGTTTCTGGCTCCTCACTGCAAGAAAGACACTGAGGTGCTTGAGCAGGTCCAGAGAAGGGCAACAAAGCTGGAGAAGGGCCTGGAGCACAAGACTTATGACAAATGGCTGCGGGACCTGGGGGTTTTTAGTGTGAAGAAGAGAAGGCTCAGGGGGCACTCTCTACAACTACCTGAAAGGATGATGCAGCAAGGAGGTGGCTGGTCTATCCTCCCACGTAACAAGAGGTAGGACAAGAAGAAATGGCCTTAAGTTGTGCTAGGGGAGATTTAGACTGAATATTAGAAAAAAATGTTCACTCTCACAGAGAGGGTGATCAGGCATTGGGACAGGCTTCCCAGGGAAGTGATGGAGTCACCATCCCTATAAGTGTTCAAAAAACATGTAGATGAGGCCCTCAGTGATATGGTTTAGTGGTGAACTTGGCAGTCCTGGGGTAATGGCTGGACTTGATGATCTTAAAGGTCTTTTCCAACCTAGTTGATTCTATGATTCTATGATTCAGTATGTACAATTATCTAGACAAATACCCACAATCTTAGACTAGGAGACCATGACCAGTATAATACATAGAAAAGATGGGACCAAGCAGTAAGGCAAATACATTAACCCCTCCTAAACCCCTCTGTCCCCGAGTGATTGACCTGAAATGCTTCTCACATTTGGTGAAAGGTAGCATCTCATTAGCCACAAACTATTGTTAAGTGCCTTTTAGTGAAAAGCAATGCCTACCAATAATGTGTAGCAGAATACACATAAGTGGGCATACATATATTTACAAGCACATATATATAAAGGGGTCTGTGTGCATGTAGGTATGTGTGTTTCTATGCATATATAGTATATGTCTGTGTATATATACATATATATATATGAAAAATGCAAAGATTCACAGACTTCACAGTACATAAGGAAAGCAAGCTTCACTTCAGGGATGAACTGCGTTTGAGCAATTTCTCCAGTGCATTAGGCATCAGCATCAGATAGGCATGCTTTTTTTTTTTTTTTTCTCCATTTCTTCTTTTCTTGGGCAAACAAGTTTACTGTGAAAAATGTAAAGAAAAATCTCACTCCCATCCCTCCCTCCTTCCAACTGTTTTTAGAACAGTATTCATGCAGTGCAGTCTTGTTCCACAACTATAACTGTGTTTTTTCATGTGCAGCAGAATCAGTGCTTTGGAGTGCTTAGTCACCTTCCTCAGTCACCTTCCAAGAGCAGAATTTTCTCTTGACAATTGATTTCCACCATCTTATTGTGTTCTTGTCCTGTGGTCTGGAAATGAGCACTGACATCTCTCACACCGAATACCAGGAAGCTGCTTTTTAGTACACCAGCTGTGGCCACGTTGCAGGGAGGTACACGAGCACCAGTTCTGTCCCATTCTGTTTAAAAAGCGTATTCGTTTTGAAGGGACTGTCTAGGCTTCTTGGCTTGTACAGCATGGAGCACGCTGCTAGCGCTTAAATAGTAAGAAAAAGCCATTTGTAACATAAATGTCATTACAAGAATTCTTCCCCAAAACACCAGTGTTTTATTTAAAACATAATTTTAAATTGAATATGGTTTTCTCTTTAAAGTAACCTGATTTAAATTAAATGTGAAATTGAGAGAGATAATGTGGAGTGTTGTGATTGGAATTCAAAGCCTAAAACACAGAGAAAAGAAAGTGAGCCTGAATCTAATAATTTTCAATGTTTTAAGGAAACAGTAGCCAGGATAGTCACATCAATTCACTATCTACAGATAATGCTTCTTTTTAATAAATAAAGACTTTTTTTTTCCCTTGGGTACCCTGTTCATTTATGGTAGTTTTGCATAACTCATGAAATTCCACAAATATGTACTGTATGCATTTAAATGGAATTGGAATGTTCTTATAAGTAGAGCTTGATTGATATCACAAAGAAAAAGTAGTAATTCTTTAGAGAAAAAGTACTGACACAGTAGAAATGTAAACATGAGGAGCCTGAGTAAATCCATATAATAATTTAATTGCATATGTAAGTTTGTGTAGGTTCAGTATAACCTCCAAATTAACAAAATGAAGTGCTAACTAGCATACAGAAGGAAACTGGTTACAAAACACTGTGTCTTAATAGTTAGCAATTACTAAACCCAGCATTCCTCCAGGATAATAATTAAACAGTGCATGTATAAACCAGTTAAAATTAAATCACTTGGATGTAAGTCTGTCTGTCTTGAACTGAAATAAAAGTTTGTGTTGATGGAATTCTGTCATTGCAATCCTCTAAATCAATTCACATCAGTAAGCAGTATGTGGGTGATGGCTGAGACCTGCCACACAACTCTGTATGTCTTCAATTTGTAATAGCTCTGTATATGAATCAGTCTGGTATATATATGAGGGGGGTTCTTTGTGCTTATTACTGAAATACAAGTTGAAATTTGCATTTTGACAGAATCTGTACAACCATTAGAAGCTGATACTGTTTTGGTAAGCTCTTCAAAGCTGAGGCCATATGTTCTCCTTCACTTTGTAGCATGCCTAGCTCAGCTACAGGTACTACAACAACACAGACAATGGTAAGAGATGTATAATTAGTAACCAAATGATTTAAAGGCAACTACCTCCTATTTCTCTCATAAACAAAGAGCTCCACAAGTGGCATTCAGTAGGAGCCTGAATAGTTCTTTGGTGAAAAAGATCTCTAGGGAACCAAACCCCTCCTCCCAGCAACTAAAGCTTTAAAACATCAAGTATGGCCTGCTGTTGTAAGTGTGTTTTGATTTCCAGCATGTGATATTGCTGTAAACAGTGCTACAAGCAGATCAAACCACAGCTTGATTAATTCGAATTTGTCACTCCAGTGCCTAATGGTCTGCCTGCATTACAGAGCAACTGCAGTGTGAATACATATGCATGTGTTCCTGCTGTGCCTCAGCTGTAAATCACAGAAAAGTATTACTAAATGCTGTAAAAATCTCCTAAGGACAGGCTGTAGCAATTCTAGAGAACCTTGCCAAATACTATACAGTCAGAAGGAAACATGAAGTGCCTTTGTTTGACGTGGCTGAGACATAGCAATACTTTTGTGGGTTGACTGGACAAAACATCAGCTCACATACTGATTTGTGTCTCTCAGTTAAGACAGTGAAATCATCTAGACTCCCATGAGAATGCAGCATTGAAATAAAGCAGCACACAGTTTACATGGATTAATCATGTATCTCTTTGTGTCAACTACAAGCTTTATAATATTGCTTTTTTTTTTTTTTTTTTTTTTTTTTCCCCACAGGTCTAGCTTTCTTTCCAGCCAGTATCAAGTCAGTAAATGCAATCTGCTGTTCTGGAAGGAACACCGAGAACATAAAGAGAATGGAATAATATCTCAGCTAGAGGGCTCCATATATTGATGACAAGGTATGTTATACTGAGAAAGAAATAGGATTAGAATTGTTCTAAGTACCTATGAGCTGCATATAATGCTAGGAAGGAAATAACATTTTCTAAATGCACAACACCGTGCCAAAAGTGCAGGTGAAAAATCTTTACTTGAGCACAGACAGATGGGAAGCTGAAGTAAAGATGGCATTGGAGATAGGCACTATTGTAATTTGAGATTATTAGAAAGCTCCTAGAAAAGCACTCAAAGGGCCCAATCCTAAACACTACTACAGAATTGATTGTATCACTGATAAAGGAGTAAACACCATTTCCAAGCAAAAATCAGGTAATCCATTAGCAGATTTGCTTCCACTAGTCAGAAGACACACTTGAAAGTGAATGGAAGTGTATGTTGGGATGGGTATTTTTTGCCTGTATTTAGCTCATTTCCTCAGAAGAGATATTAAACAAAGAAACAAAGAAAACAAAGTAAATGTTGACCCCTTCTGAGCCGTTCCATGCTGTGCTTTTACCATGTAGGCCAGTGATGGTAAATAAAGAACATTTCAAAAGGCAGTGGCAGTAAGGTAAGATTTATCTGGGCAGTCAGGACTGTTCTGAACTGCAGTTGGCATCAGTACAAGAAATATTTGGAGATTATTATTCCTGGACTGGTCTATGGTTGGGTGTTAGCTCTAGTGTGAATGTACTCCAGTTGTGTGTATGTGCTGAGATTTGATTAGCCATCTAATCCTCAAATATATCAAGCTGCACTCTAGGCAGTGGATGGAGTTGTCACTCACTGGTTAAGTAAAATACTGCTTACTATTTTAACTGGTTTTAAAAGGCAGATGTTGTTACATTTGTGGCTTCTTTTTTTTCTTTAACGTGGAGACTGGAAATGAGGTACAGAGGTGCCTCAGTGAACAGATACACTGGTAAGACAAATGCTAAATACATCCACTAATTTAGCAAGTTGCTGAAATATTGATAAATCTTAATAAAACCCACTTTTTTGCAACCAAGTTCTGTCAGATCTGACTATTGTTTGCTACACCAAATTCCCATTGCCTTTGAGTGGAATGAAAATGGGGGAAACCAGGTGAGAGCTGGATGCTATTTAAACAACTGTGACACATTATATCCTGCCCTAAGGAATCATTACAATTCAACAGAAATGTAATGTTGGTTCTTAAGTGTAGCTTGAATTCAGTCTATCTAAAAGGCTTCTGCCTATTCTGAATTTTTAAGTCACGTCATCTTTCAGCTTAATGATCCTTTAATATCAGCCTGCCACTCTGCAGAATATCTAAGAAGTTAAGTACTTACATATACATGGGCTGTAGCTGTAAATGAGATGTCTTCTGTGGACCTTGATAGCCGTAAGAGTCAAATCCACCTATGAAATCAACTGAAAGGGGGAAAATTGCTTTCATTAGAAACATCTTTTCAGAAGTGATAGGCACTATGATTCAAGAACCAACCAGCACACAAATTATTTTTTGATGGGCCCTTTATTAATCTGTTAAAATTAGATCAACTAATAGTGGAGATGCAGGATAAGGGTAAAAAAAAGTAGAGAAAGGCAAAGTCACTTTTTAAATTTTAAAATCAAATTAATTTTAAAGTCACAGAAAGACAATGAGGGGTTTATAACAGCCCTCTGTCTATCAGAAATATCCACACATCCCTCTTTTTATGTAGAACACCTCACTGGAGTACAAACCAACATGCTATTCATGTATTACAAATGCTGAAACCCATTTATTAACTGGCATGAATGCATTGCTTCTGACTGTGATTACTCTGTCTGGCTTGCTGTCATGCTTGGCTCAATGATGTAGAGGAGAGAGCGCATTGATCCGACTCTGAGAGACAAAAGTTTCTCTGATTCCTTGCTTTGACATTTGGGTTGAAATGCATGAACAGAGGGCTGGAACAATTTATCTGAGCTTCAGAGATGAGGCTTCACGGATCTGAGGAAACCAGCTTTTCTCTCAAGGTGCTGGAGGTCTGCAGGAAGGTTGTAGGGTGGGAGTTATTTATTAATTCACACCACCGACAGTTCCCCATGGTCTCCTCATGTTTTATTTTAAACAATTTCGGGGCCATTCAGTCCCATCTGAGCCTGAGACCCCTGTTTCTCTGCTATAACACTTTCTTTACACCAGTAAAAGCAAAACCTTTGCTTCCTTTGCATTGGGAGAGTCAGCTATTGGCTTTTGGAGGTTATTTGTGGATAGTTCTCATCCCTGAAATATTGTCTCTTACATAGCAGATGTGAATTTGACTTTACTTTGATAGGAAAGGGCCAAAGAGTTCAGATATGTAAGTGCATTTTTCACAGGTCAGGGCACTGTTACTGACAGACTGGCTCTGTGTGCATTAAAAGCAAAAAATCCAGAAGAGGTTCTTTGACAGAGGATAGCTTCTTCTGGACCTAAAATGCAATAACATTCACATAAAAATCATGAAATGTCAATTTATCACTATTGGTTTGAGAACTTTCACAGTGGTTGGATTCCTTAAAAGTTGCATTTATGAGGTTATTTTATCCTAAAGTACGCCTCAATATGTGTCATGCTTAACCACATTTATCATGCAGTCACAGGCATTCCAGACATGTTACAAAATCAAATTCTTATACCTCTCTGTACAACATGTATTTTGCAAACAAAGAGCTACCAAAACAGTAGACTGGACTGGTACAATATGTCTGCATTGCAATCACAGACATGCTGAACCTGTCATCCACCTTCTTCCCTGGCATTAATGGCCCCTGCAGAAATAATTTTGCCCATTCTGTGCTCTGTGGTAGCATTACATATACTCCTATACCAGAAAGATGTGTGACTAAATTAATTCCTGACATCTCTAATGAAGAAGGTTCTATAGTCTCTCTGTGGTGCCTTTCCCTGAGCCTAACTTCCTAATGTCTAATTTAAATGTAATTTCCTGCAAATTAACTACTTTCTACATTCTAGCCTTTTGTCCCCATGGATATAAAGACAAATGAAGAGGTTTTTTTACAACTACTTTTAAGCATTTTCAGAAAGTATTTTCATGATATCCATCTTTTTCAGATTTATGCATACATAATTCTTTCAAATTTTTCTCACAGTGCTTGTTTTCAACCCTCTGCATTTCCAAGCCTGACGATCCTTCCTCAGTCTACTTGTTTTTCTTATAGTGGGGTGCAAAAATCAGGACTGACTGGAACAACTTCCATGCAGGTCTTCTGTACATTACTTGAACTAACATGATGGATTTTCTGCCTTTTTTTTTTTTTTTAATTTCTCCTTTTCAACAGCATCATATAAATGCTTAATAACCAGATCTTTATTTTTATGTTTTTACACTAACTGTAGTCTAGCCAAGTAGTCCATATTTTATCTGAAGACACTTGATTGATTCTTCTCCACAGGAGTTCTTTTGCACTTGTCTGTACTGAATTTCATCTTCTTAACTTCAAGCCACTTCTCAAGATCATTTTGTGAAGATCAATCCTATCTTCACAAGTGCTCATACCACCCCAGTCTTGTTTCATCTGAAATTTTTACAAATATTGTCTCCTTGATCATTCTTGCTGTTAACAAAAATAATGAAGAGAATTCTTTCTCTAGCCAAGGTCCTAGTGGGATCCCATCTGAAATGTCATCATGACTGGTTGATAACTAGTTTTCATTCAAATAGAGTTTTAAACAATTCTGCACACAACCTATGATGATTGCATCTGGACAGTATTTCCCTGGTTTGCTCACAAACCTTTCATAGGGTTAAAATCTTGCTAAAATCAAGATAAATGTAATTTCTTGGTTCCTACTTATTGTTTGTAGCTATCAGAATAACTTTATTACAATGTGGTTATGTCTTTGGAAGCATTCTAAGTTTACAGGCACAGAACAAAGAATTCACTGTAGGAATATTGTTGATTGAAGAGCTAGGCTGGAAGGAAACAAAACCATTTTATTCAAATACAAAGATTGCAGTAAAGAGAATAGACGTTTTTGCTGTAGTTAAGGTTTGTTGTTCTCTTGACCAGTTTTCTGGTTTTTTGTCATTCTCGACCTCTAACACTACAAGTCAGAAAATACCTGTGTTGGACTGAGTGTCTCATTGGTGTCAATCATGTCACATTATGGATGCTGCTCATATGCATTCGTCCAGCTTTGCATTTCCTGTGCACTTCCTAACACCCTGCAAGCAACCGCTAAACCATCATTAGAAGGCTGCAAGCACAGACACCCTGTTTTGCAGTCACAGGGCAAAAGTTCTTAAGGATGATTTCAGGGTTGTTTTCAGAAAGCTAAACCAGTGTGTTAAGAGAGATTTCTTTGAGTAAAAGGAGTTTGTGTGCATGCTGAATATCTCTGCATGATTTGTGTCCTTGCCCTGTTGCACAGAGTAAACACAGACTGTTAACAAGTCAGATTGTCAAGTGTAAACAAGGCAAGCTTGTACAGACATTTCTGTGTTCAGCTGACTGTGGAACTTCCCATGTGTGTAACCAAATGATGTTAGGGCAGAAAGTACTACTGTAACCTTGTAGTAGGCATACAATGGCTTCTTGCACGCAACAACAAACTTTGCAAAGTAAGTAAATGTAGGTAATAGAAAGTGAACTCCAATACAAAAGGATTACAGTAATTTCTTTGTAGCAAGGTTTCTGAATGGTGGCAGTTTCTCATCACTGCAAAGCCTGCGGTGTCCAGACTGTGCTAAAAGCTCCCTGTGGACTCAGAGCTAGTTTCTTTAAGCATGCAAAATGCTGCCCTTTCTGAAGGCATTTTATCCTGGCTGTGCCTGAAAGGTCACTAAAAGTGTCATACGACCAATACGTTCCTGGCAGCAGTAACATGAGATGAATAAAACAAGGCTCATTAGTTGAATCACTGCAGAGGCTTCCATCCTTAACCTAATCCATCAAAAACATTTTTGACTATTCTATTTTACATTGATCTTACAAGTCACTGTTATCAGAGGTGGCTCTTTTGTCATGTTTTGCTTTAGTAAAAGCACACGTGCAAGTACAAATAAACACAGAATCCCATTCCTTTTGTGGTGAGTTGACCCTGGCTAGATGCCAGGCACCCACTCTGTCACTCCCCTCCTCAGCTGGACAGGGGAGAGAATATAACAAAAGGTCTGTGGGTCAAGATAAGGACAGGGGCTCAGCCTTGACCAGTGGTGCATCTGTCTTGGAGCTGGCTGGCGTTGGCTCTACTGGACACAGTGGAAGCTTCTTAACATAAGCTGCACATATAGCCAACCCCTGCTACCAAAGCCCAGCCACACAAACCAAATACACCTTCGAAATATTAGGTGCTGAGATGCTTTTTCTCTGAGGTGGACTTGAATATGATACTAGCAGTACTATTTATCTGTAAAATGCATTACAGAAATCTACCTGGAGTATTTGCTTCCTTTGCTGGTGTTAAAGGGCTTGTCAGGTGTATGACTGTGGCTACAACTTTGACACAGACTGGAGATATGGGTCAAACCAGAGACATATTTTCTATTACTAAGCACCCACAGTGATGTGAAGTTTCAGCCTCTGCTCATAGTCACAGTCCCTACTGTCTCTGGTGTATATCAGGACAGAATGAGAAGCATAAACGGGTTTATCATTTTTCATTTCTGGAAGTCTGTGGTGTACAGAGGGACTATTAAACTGGGATGCACAAAAAAGATCTCATTAGCATATGAGAGAAGGGACTTTCCAGAAAATGGGTAGTGAAAAGCACTGAAGCTGATGAAATCAACAGATGGACAAAGAGAAAGGAAACAGTGCAGAATAAAAGCAGTAACATCTTCCTGTAGAAACCAAAAGGAAAGGTACTGAATAGAAACCAGAAGACTATACACTGTTCTACTTACAGAAATTTTCCTCTGTAAGATACAAATACAGAAGCACAAAGACAGATTCTCAGCTAATATATACATTTATAGCTTCAGTGATTTCATTGAAGCAATGATAATCTACATTAGCTTAGGACCTGACCCAAGGAGTCATTTAGGACATATATGTATAGAAATGTGACTGACACTGTCCTTGTGTTTTAGAAGACATGCAAGATGTGTAAGTAGACAGGCTCAATATGAAAGCATATTGAGTTTAGGAAGGGGAAGAAGGATGAGTGGCTTTATCTGTAAAGGAAAAGAAAGAGAACGGTTGGGAAATAGCCATGTACTTGGCCAACCTGTGACCTGCAGCATGGATAACTTCTTGACTTCTTTCAGATCCTCTCCTTACTTTGTTTCTTTGCTACTATTGTTTGTTTTGCTGACTAGCTTGCCTCTATTCCAGATGCATGAGGCCCTGCCTCTCACAGTGGTGAATGTACTGCCAGAACTCAACCCTGCCTTCATCACCACTTCTACTTCCTGCCTGAGGCTCCTTCTTTAAAAGTG